TCATTTACCTCCAGTTGCAAGACATCAAAATTACTTTTGTGTATTACAGGCTTTACCGTTATTCCAATGATTTTATCAGTTCATTGCAGATATTTAAAAGCAGCAAACAGGATGCAAAAGGACTGAATAGATGGCAGGTTGCTTGATGTAAATCTTGTCATATTCCGACATCTCATCAGATCGTTATTTCATCTCTCTGGAAAAATTGCTCCATATATTTTTTTGTTTTTGTGAAAGAAGTTACTCAAGTATAAAGTGGTGATGCCAAAGCCTGAATCCTGTTGTAAGGATAACCAAAGTAAAAAAAAATCAAGTTGACAGCATGCCACGATTTTTTTTTGTATTAGTATGTTACTTCTGGTTTACTTTGAATGAAAAAAATCAATCTTGACAAAGAAAGGTTTCTTTAACAAGTAAGTTATTTTTGGCAGTGCAGAGGCCTGTTAGTAAAAGAGAAAGTATTGGTGTGGTCTTCAGTAGTTCTGTGTATTATGAGTAATGTTTAACAGGTTGGATTTAAGAGTTTGGATTTGTGAAGTGGCATAATTATTAGTTCGCATAAACTGATTTTTATTTTAGTTCTTAACTCAAAGGACAAGGTAAATTTGGCTTTATTTGGACTATCCTGGATTGCAGTTGCTATAATCACTATGCCCTCCTCATCTACAGCTGCTACATCTCCCTTGCTTGTTATTAGTTACAACCATTCTCAGACACAAATGACATAACCCTGTGAAAGAATATCTTTCACAGCAGGCAGATGTTCCTATATGACTAAGTTTGCACTTGTAATAGTTACTATTATTAGAGGCATTAAACATTGCACCACACCTCTAACTCAGCTGTCTGGCAAGCTGTTAGAAAACAAAGGCACATTTATAGACCGTTGCTTCCGACACACAGAAAAAAGCCTGGAGGTGGGGGAGAATTCCTGGCCTGACAGACCCAACCTGGGAAAAATTCCCCAGATGGTTGCCTTTTTGCTCAGCACTTTTTCTCAGCCTGTTTAAAAACCAACGAATAAAGCAAAAAATGACTTCAATTCCATCGCCCTGTCTTCACACAGACCTCTTGGCTTATCTATGCAATGCTTGCCACCTCGTGATCCCCAACCCATTCCATACGGTCCCTCAAAGTCAAACAGCATCCCTATACCCACCCATGGCCTCTCATACCCTCTATGCCAACCTATGTCACCCTACCCTTGCCAATGCACTATCCTTTTCCCTCACACCACCATGCCAATCATCCAGTATCCATCATTAGTTGGTCTCTGGACTTATTCTGAGATTAGTTTTAAAATGCACAAGTCATGTTCTGGACATTGGATCTGACTGTAGGCAGCTGCACTTTATTATGTGCTGTTGCCTTCAGATGCTGTGTACTTCTGGCTAAATGTTGTAAAGCTCCTGGAGCATGAAGTGAGGTGAGTGCGCTAACTTAATTTGTTGAAAGATAATCTTCCTGGTTTATTTGGACTGAGCGAGAGCTGTTTTTCTGTATAGGGAGATTTGTTGAACGAGGGAGAAGAGGTATTTGTGCATTGAGATTAGGTAGAGGCTGTGACAGGAGAATCAGGCCTGGATGACTGAGGGAGGCAGGTGTCAACCCATTAAAGGCTCATGAGTGACAAAGAGAGGAAGCTGAACCACATGGGGAAGGTCAGTATCTACAGTTGGTTGGTCAAGCCTGATTGACCATTTGATCTCCATTGTGAGGTCGTGTGAATCAAGTTAAACAGAGGGCCGGTCAAGGATGACAGAAGAAGGTTAAGGATAACGACTGAGAGGTTGAGAGTGAGAAGGGGCAGTTCCAGTGTCATCATCTTCGAATCCCTACAGTGTGGAAACAGGCCCTTTGGCCCAACAAGTCCACACCAACCATCAGAGCATCCCACCCAGACCCATCCCCTACCTAATCTATACATCCCTCAACTTTACGGGCAATTCAGCATGGCCAATCCACTAGCCTGCACAACCTTGGACTGTAGGAGGAAATCAGAGCACCCGGAGGAAACCCACGCAGACATGGGGAGAATGTGCAAACTCCACACAGTCGCCCAAGGGTGGAATCGAACCCGGATCCCTGGCTCTGTGAGGCAGCAGTGCTAACCACTGAGCCACTGTACCAGGATCTGACTGATGGAATTGGAAAGGATGCTCTAGGGTGAATGACGATTGGTTAAGAGTTGGTGGGTCGAGTGTTACCAAAGGCAAGATAATGGTAATGGGGTGAGGGTCAAAGATGATGGCGGGAAGGTGTTAGGCTAATGTAAGATGGTGACACATCTGAAGGGGCCTTCATTGCATACCTAGACATTACAGGCTCCTCACAAACAGCCAGATTGATACTGCATGATGGCAAGGAGTAGAGGTCTGTCCAGGTGCCATTTAAATTGGATGTTGGTCCCCACAAGACTGGTGACTTCCTGCCAATCTCCCCTTTGCAAACCTAATTGACTGAACTCCATGTGATTGCACATGGTCAGCTGCACCATCCCGAACAGAAGTGCAATGCTGTTTTGTTTCTGCCATTAGAAACTTCAACACGAGAACAAGATTCCAGGCTGAATATACACTATTTCCCCTCCAAAATGGCATTTTTGATGCTGGTTCCACCAGGGAGCCATTTTGATTGAGCTAGCAGCTGGAGCTTCCACAGCAGGATGCAGATTATAAAATTGAACAATACATCACATTGATACCATCACTGCTTTTTGATACCATCACTCACCACCTCTGTGAAAAATTATGGCCCATGCGTTTTTGTTATCTTATGTTTAGGGAGTGCCTTTTCAAAACCTGGTTCATTTACCTGTGGCAGGACTCTTTCCCAGAAGACTGCTTTATAAGTCTGCTTTTAATTTCCATGGGTGATTTTTTTTTTTACAGTCATTCAGTAAAGCTTTGCTGGTGGACTGTTCAGATGATAGTTGTAAAATATTTTGTCATACTTGCTCTGGGTTCATCAAAATGTTCTTAGATGGTTAAATGTATTTTCCTAAAGGCAGAGAAAGAGTGAAGAGCATTGTGAGACACTATTGTTTGCCATTTGTTAGCCATGGAGCCAAATAATTAATTCCAGATCTCTCAGTGTGTATATGTATAATTAAAAAGTAATGATTTCCCACAAAAGGCAATCCATGAAAAATTAGAGTTGTTGCGAATTTAGTTAATCTGCCTATTTTGACATCTAATTTATTTGAACATCCTCTTAATATTTCAGCGTACTTTTAATTGAGTTAGTCATTCTCAGAAGTAAATTTCTTTTTCATTGTACTAATTATCTCCTCTGATTAGAAGTAATTCAGCAAAATGATGCTGAAAACATTTGAATGACAAATGGCAGAAATTGGCAAATGTTTAGTTTGATAGAGATAGAGGTAGTAATATTTCTACTTTGCCAGTTAAGATTTTTTCTGGATAGAAAGAGTTGAGAAATGTCCTGTCAGAACATCTTTAAGTTTGTATTGAGTTTAGCTGAGAGTATTATATATTAATTTAGTCAATTCTTATTTTCTCGTGTAAAAAACAAGTTGCTCACTTGTGACCAGTTTGAATTCGGAGCAGAATCTCTAGCTTTCTAAGCAGATGCAAAGAATTTTGAAGTACTCTGAAATTTCCTGTGCCACAAGAATTCTGAATCTCATCCTCAAATGTGGATTGCTTTCAAGTGCAGTTTGTCGTCTCTTTTCATGAGGAGAAGACAAATCTACAGAAGAACCAAATCTTATTGCAAGAAACAGTTTTGCTGCCTGAATAGGTCTGGCCTAGTGCCAATTCAGTATGTGGCTGCTACAAGTGTCTAGTGATGCTACTATGCACTTAATAACTTTTAAAAATTCAGAACAGGCGTTAATCTTTTTTGCTGAGTCCTTTGCCACAAAGTTTTCTACTGTTCAAATATAAATCATCTAGTTTATATTGATTCAGGCTGCTTTTCATTCTTGTGACGTGGGTTTCAATGTCAAGAGTAGCATTTATTGCCCAACCCTAGTCACCGACTGAATAGCTGTTCTGAGGGCACATGAGACCATACTGGATAAAGATGACAGATTTTCTTGACAGAATATTGATGAACCAGTTGGGCTTTTGCAACAATTCAAACATTTATGGGGTAGGATTTAATTGACCTGTCTGTGGTATTACCCACTGGGACAGAACCCACGTCAGTTCCACGTGGGAGACCAGACTACATTCAATACTTTTCAGGCAGTCAACTGGCCACTGTTGGGACTTGCCTGGACCCTGGCAACAGAGAGCAGTTGGCTAGTCAAAGGTTGGCAGATCTTCACTGCTGTCAGTGCCAATGGGAGCAGTAATAACTGCTACCCACCAGATTGTCACAGGATTGCCGAGTGACCCTGGGTCAAAGGTGAGTGAGGGTGGGATTGGGATTGTGATCGTGAGCAGACGGTCAAGGCTAAGCGCAGGGGCGTCCTTTAAGTAGCCTGCCCCCTCTGTGTGCCGCTCGAGGGAATTTCCTACAAAATAGTTGACAAACGAATAGTGTTTGCCAGACTGTTTGAGAAGTGCAGGTAAGTTGTGCAGGTCCCACTTAATGAAGGGCTGTAAGTTTCATTTCAATTTCCCTTCTGAGCACAGATCAATTCATCTTTATAAACTCTTTGATTGGAAAGAGCGCACATGAAAGTGGTTTCTTTTCTGTAAGTGTTGGTCAATTTGCAAAACCAATTATATTACATCAGAACTTCCTTAATCTTATACACTTGTTTGACTGAAGTTAGATGATTCTGCTGTAAAAACGAGTTTGAATAAATAGAAACCGCAGGCTATTAAGTATTTGTTGAAAAATGATATCCCAGTAGTTAGTAACAAATGAGCAATCTCTAAATGGTTTACTATTGTGTAGGTGAAATGCAGACCAGAATACCAACTAATCTGTTCACAAACTCTGATGTGCTACCTTGGAAAGTCATTATGACAAATTAATTAATTGTGTTTTTATGTCATGTAGCTCAATGTGCTTTATTTTAATAGGATTGACTGCGCTGGGATACTGAAGCTGCGAAATGCTGACATTGAGCTGAGGAAAGGAGAGACAGACATTGGCAGGAAGAACACTAGAGTGAGGCTTGTTTTTCGAGTACACATTCCTCAAGCCAATGGCAGGACAGTCTCGTTACAGGTTGCTTCAAATCCCATTGAATGCTGTAAGTTTTCTTTTCATTACATAGAGGCTTATGAGATTATGATGTGACCATAATAGCCTGCGTTTCACTGACTTCTAACAATCCCAACTGTTCTTACAATTTATCATTTATAAGACCCAGTATGTTCTTCAGAATACACACACATACGCATACACTGTTATCAAGGTCTAACTCAGCCACAATACTGAGTATAACAGAATAAAACAAGACCGTATTTGTCAGAACTGTATGCAATGATGTCCTTTTATCATAAAGCCAATGTGCCTCCAAGCAGCTAGTGATGAAACCTAAACCTTATTGTAAAATACAGGTATAGGCATCCACTGTCAACTATAACTTGTATATCTCCATTAAAGTAAAAAAGTACTTCAGATCCAAAGTGCCAGACACCACCAATGTTGAGAAAACCAGATTGTACAGTAGCAAGTGGGTGGCATCAAATATCAAATCTAAAAGACACATCTTGGTTCATTGTGAAAAAAGGATAGATTTTCTGTAACAAATGCAATTATGGCAGCTAGCTGAGGTTCCGAAATTGTGAAACCCTAATCTTATTACACGTAAAGGCTACAGCAAAGAAACTGGCCATTCAGTCCATCCAAGCACTTCTCATCAACCCTATCGGTATACCAACCCATTCTTTCTCCCTCATATGTTTATCTAAGGTACCCTTGAAATAGTCTGTGTTAATTGCCTCAACTATTCCTTGTGTTCATGCTTTTTACTTTTATACTATTATTTAGGTAAAGAGGTTTCTCCTCAATTTGTTATTTCATCTTGAGAGTGGTCTCTCCCACGAATGGAAACGTTAGGCAGAATTTAGTGGAGATGATGAGGGTCTCACCCATTGGCTGGAGACCCAGAAAGAGGCAGGTGTTGCTTCTCTTAAAGAAGTCCCACACTACTAAGCGCTGCTTAGGCACTTAACCAAATAAAAAGGGCTTTTGCCACCTCAAGGCCTGAGTGAGTGCAAGCCTTGCCTGCTGAGAGCTGCTTGCTAATTGCAGCTCTATTCTGCATCAGCTACTTAAAGCGGAAGAATAAAACATAAAACATTACCCCAATATTACTCACCCTTCACATTCCCTTGCCCACTTCCTCACACACTATCCATGCCACCTCATATGATGTACCTATCCCCCTGGAAATCTATGGCCTTTATCTACAGCCCATGGCTCTTTATAGCCCTTGTTAATTTGGTGGCAACTCATGACAAGCCATGATCTTTACCCACTATCCTTTGCCCTTACAACTATCATGCCACTTCATCCAATATTCACCATGGGAAGACCACAGAACCCGTGCAGAGATAAAATAAATTAAAATTCTAAGAGTTTGCTACAGATTTCATTATATTGAAAAACACATCTCATTTTTTAAAACTCCAATTACTACATTTACATTCCTTCAAGTTCATTTTGCCTGAAAACAAAACATTTTTCGTTCAAGTGCATAATTTCTTATAATAACAAACATTGGGATTCATAGTCCCACTTCAAAATATTTATAATTACTTGTAGCTGTCAGGCAAATTGCAAAGTAACAGACATCCTACCTTGATAATGAATGATTGTGAAATCAGTCATGCCACACTCATCTGGATAATAGTAGCCCTCATGCTTTTGACATTATACAGAGTAAAATAGCAAACAATTTATTTTTAATACTCCAAACACTTTTTTCCAAATATTTATATCACAGAACTTTTCAATTCCTTGACAGATTGTGTTCCCTTTGACAGTTAGATTTGACAGTTCCTCTTGACATTCTGAACAGATTCTGTTGACTCTGTTGACAGGTCCTCTTGACGGTTGCTTTTAAGTTTTGTGATAGTTGATTTTAACAGGTTTCCAACAGTTCAAATGTCCGTCAGACTTACTACATTTATGCCCTTTTCACACACATTCATGGCTTCTCTTAATTCAAAGGGCACTTTACCTCCCCCAGAAGTGTCTGGGAGCCATATTCAGAGTGGTGCCTTATCTATCCAAAATGGTATCCTGAATATCAATATAAAGTTTTGACCTGTTCCAGCCAGGTCCAATCTGAGCACTTGGTGTTTGAGATGTCAGGGTTACCAAATCATACAGGAGTGGTCCAACTGCTGATTTCTATGGCATCTAACCCAGTTAAATGCATACCTGTGATACACAAACCATCCCTATTCCCACCTCCATGAAAATGTCATGTTTCAGGGGTGGGACTTTGAATTTGCAAACAAGTCTGGCATTTTCTCGAAGACAGAGAGAATCTCCATCATGGCAAACATCTAGGTCTTTGTTAGCCTTTATTCAATGTTTATTTTTTTCTTAGTTTTTGAAAAACCAAAAACATACTTCACAGATAGAAATTACATTGCCCATTAAGTAGACATTAAATTCTCCCAGAATCCTTTGGCCAGGCAATGGCCTACATGTATTATCACTAGATTAACAACCCAGGTAAAATTCTGGAGACCTGTGTTTGAATCCTGTCATGGCAGGTAGTGGAATTTGAATTCAATTTTTAACAAAATGGAATTGAGGCCCTAATGAAACCATTGTCAATTGTCGAGAAAAAACAATCTGTCCTTTAGAGAAGCAAACTGCCACTTTGTCTGACCTACATGTGACTCCAAACCCACAGCAATGTGGTTGGCTCTTAACTTCCCTCTGGGCAATTAGGGATGGGCAACAAATGCTGGCATTGTCAGCGATGCCCTCATCCCATGAATAATTAAAGCAAAAATCGGTAATGTAATTCTTAGCTCCTGCGCTCTCTTTACCTTTCCCTTCCTGGGAATTTCTAACCCAGAACTGCCTTTCCTGGAAACTGTTTTACTGGAGATCCATCTTGTTGTGCAAGCTGCATGAATCTCCCAGTTTCATTTCAACCCATTACAACTTTGTGCACAAACTTCCAACAAATCCCACTGTGTTGATATACCACAGAAGACCATTCCTTTACCCAGCTCCTTAATAGAACAGTGAAAAGCCTGCAAGAGAGTATAGAACAGGCCCTGCCTAATTTCAACTGTAACATGAGCAGTAAATGTACAATTTGATTTTCCTAACTCAGTCTTCAATACAAAATGTCAACTCTCTTCTATTTGAATTTTTTCTTTGTACTTTGCACACAAAGTAAACACTTCACTCAGTTGATTTGGTTATTTTTGTTTGTTAAGCAAACGTGTTTGCTATAACGTTCTATTTTAAATGTATAAAGTGGAATTCAGAAAGTACATTAGCACTGGCAAGTGAGGAAATGTATTAGAATAAAAATAACACAAGATGATCAGAATTTGTTAATCAAATCCCTCATCAAGTGAAATTGTACACAAGCTCCTGGAAACTTATTGATTTTATTCTGTTAAAGGGAAAACAAAATGAAGGACCACATGGGTAACCAAAACAATTGAACTTGTGCACAACTCCACATTTATTGTTGAGATGAACTGCTCCTCATCCCTCAGCTTGGCTAAAATGTAATGACAATTTAAGCACAACCTGGGCTGCTTTTTTGTGTATCTCGCCATAGACAAACAAGTGCTGAAATGTACATTTTGCTTGACTAAGTTAGAATTTAAATCCTTGTGAAATGTGAATTGTGAAATTGTGAATTACTTAACCAATTGTGACCAGCATCAGTTATTTGAAACGGCATATTTAACATTTTTTCACACATTGATGAAATTTTTTCAACAATTTGTACTTTATTTTCCCTTGAAATGTCTCAACTAATGGCTACAACCTGACCTGAAGTTCATGCTTGCAAGCAAGAAACAAATGTATTTGCAAACTTTATGTAAAATGGCCAACGTCCAATCTGCATTTCTTATATTAAAAGTGAACACATTATAATATTACTTTATGAGCTGTAAAGCATTTTGCATTTTTAAATGGACATAGAAAGGTACTACATAAATGTATCCCTTTGCTTTTTACATAGAATTAGCAAACAAATTGCGCTAACATAATTTTGTGGAAAGCCTTTTAAACCTTTGAGGGCACTGATGTTATTAATACTACAATTGTGTGGTGAGCCAGATCCTCAGGCTGAAAACCATGTGTCATTATGAAATTGGGTAAGCTGAATATATTTGCCACAATCAGGTATAATATTGACACAAGATGGGATAATTATCAAATCAGACAGGCACAGTGATTTAGAGACTTCAATATTTATATGAAAGATAAGTATAAGGAACAAAAATAGCTGCTGTAAGATGCAGTTTCTTTTTTCTTGAATTGTCATTAATATCTTTCTGTAATGAGTATATTTTGTTTTATTGCTCCAGCTCAGAGATCTGCACATGAATTGCCAATGGTGGAAAAACAGAGCACGGACAGTTGTTTCGTAACAGGTGGACAACGGATGATTCTCACTGGTCAAAACTTTACTACCGAGTCAAAGGTCCTTTTCACAGAGAAGACTCATGGTAAGACATGTTGTCCTTTTGTGAATCCATTTCAAACTGGAAGTGAATGGTATTGTTGATGAGATCTGAAAATAAAAGTAAGGAGGTTATGCTTCAGTTATATGGGTTATTTAAGGAAAGATGTAAATGCATTAGAAATAGTTCAGAGGAGGTTTACTAAATTAGAACATAAGAACTAGGAGCAGGAGTAGGCCGTTCGGCCCCTCGAGCCTGCCCCGCCATTTAATAAGATCATGGCTGATCTTTTTGAGACTCAGCTCCACTTACCCGCCCACTCACCATAATCCTTAATTCCTTTACTATTCACGTGGAAAGACCGGGTTGTCTTATGAGGAATGAGTGGACAGACTGGGTTTGTTTTCACACGAGTTTAGAAGACTGTGGGGTGATTTGATTGACATTTTATAAGATCCTGCATGGCCTTGACAAGGTGGATGTAGAGAGGATGTCTCGTCTTGTGAATGAATCTGAACTAGGGGTCACTGTTTTAAAATTAGGGGCTGTTTTATAGGAAGGCTGTGAAATTGTGCAACTTTGGAACTTTTTGCCTCAGGTGATGGAAGTGTAGTCATTGAATATTTTTAAAGGCACAGGTAGGTAGATTTTTGTTAGGCTGGAGAATCAATGGTTATCTGTGGTAGATGTGAATATGGAATTCAGAACACAAACAGATCAGTCATGACCTTATTGAACGGTGGAGCAGGCTTGGAAGTGCTAAAAGGCCTAGTCCTGCTCCTAATTTGTATGTTTACCTGTAATGTACGTGGAGTCACTCTCATTTAGAATGGAGTATAAAGGGAAAGATTTACATCATAGTCAATGTGGCAAAAGTCGTTGTAAATACGTTTCCAATTTTGCACTGATGAAACTTTAAAAGATTCACACATAACTAATATCCTCCTGAGGTAGCACTAAAACTAAATGGTTGTGAGTAATGGGAATTTCAATTTACACTTAGGTTGTGTTCTACCAAATCAGAGGTTACTCAGTGTGACGTTGGATGGTGAAGGCAATAATTGTTCAATTCCCCAGTGGTAACATCGAAGGCTACAGAAAGTATAAGTTATATAATGGAACACTACTTAAGGCATTGATTTTCACTCCCAGGTTGTGAGCACAGAGACAGGAAACTTCCAGCTCTGCAAACCCGACCTGGGAGAAACTGAGCTGGAAGGTTGGGTTTTCACTCCAGGCTGGTGGCGTTCCTTAGAGGCAGGTTAGGCAACCCCAGAACAAGAGCAGATGAGGGCTGAGCACACATTCTGCGGCAGATTAAAGAAAAAACTAAGACATCCCTTCAGCCCTTACCCAATAACATCCCCAAGCAAATCTATGCTCCTTTACCCACCACCCTGGCCCTTTAAAGCCCCATGCTAACCTGTGCCCCTGTAGCTAATCCCCTGTCCTCTATAGCCCCAGTGCTAATGTATGCCATTCCGTGCCACCGACCTGCCACTCTTTGACCTTTCACTTGCTGTGCCAACACACTTAGTATCCATCATAGGCAGACCTTGGCATCCATGCACACAGGAAAAAGAATTAAGTGCTATCAAATAAAGATCTATGGATGTACTGTAGTTACCACTATTAAGAATAGCACTCTCATTCACAAAAAAAGATTCTTACTGCATTTTAATTGCTTCATTCATTAAAGCCTTGTGGAAGTAAACATTTCATTCCAGTGCAAAAGGCATTAGAATTGACAGTCCCACATTAAAAAGTTTAAAATCACTTACAGTTGTCCATCAAACAGAATAGAAGGAACCCCACTGTAATAATAAATCTTTGAGAAATCGGGCGTGCAGCAGTAATTAAGTGATGGAAATCCTCAGATTGTGGTAAATCTCTTGACAGTTTGATAGTTTCAAATGGGTTATGCACATTTTGGCACATTCTTGTCATCTTTTAACTATGCAAAATGTCTAACTGCACCCCCTGCACCTCCCTGAAGGCCACTGACTCTACCGAAAGGTGCCTTATACATCTCCTTAAGGTGCCCTGAGGCATATCTAAAAAGGGAGCTCAGTTCTCCAAAGGGGCACACTGTTCTGATCTAACACAGTTTGGAGCTGGAGGAACACACCAGGCCAGGCAGCATCAGAGGAACAGGAAAGCTGACATTTCGGGTCAAGGACCCTTCTTTTGTTTTCTGAAGAAGGGTCTCGACCCGAAACGTCAGCTTTCCTGCTCCTCTGATGCTGCCTGGCCTGCTGTGTTCCTCCAGCTCCACACTGTGTTATCTCTGACTCCAGCATTGGCAGTTCTTACTATCTCACTGTTCTGATCTGATCTGTTTTGCGCATTCTTGGTTCCATACAGCAGAGATTCCCAAATCTGATTAATCTGGAGACAGCTAATTAATGGTCAGCAGTTCCCACCAGTCATGTGTGAAGCACCAGTATTCCAAATCTCACTCTGCAAAAAAATCAGAAATGCACATTTGGGGACAGGATTAATGATTGTTCCAGATTTCTTACCATGTTTAATGCAATGGAGAAACTCTGTGTCATGGTCAAAGGCTGGGTTATTGTCTCTAAGAAGTAATGGGAATTCATTGAATGAACACATGTAACAGAATGCAAAGTGCAGATGATATTGGGCTTCTCATTGTAAAAGGGTAGGTTTAAGGAAATATGTACTCATAGCATGAAACTTTGCCTATCCAAAGCATCCATTGCATCAACACAATTGTTTTAGTGATGCTCAGGCACTGAGAAGCCCAATATTGTCTGCACTTTGCATTCTGCTACATGTGTTCATTCAATGAACAGACATGTCAAGAGGCTACGTTTGTAAAATCTGCCCTTGCATGTTTGCCCAGTTCACTTACAAACTTTTAAATCAATTAAATATTGATATTCTTCTTTATTAATTTAGAATTTAAAGCATTTGGCCAAACTGGACTATTTGCCACAAAATTCTCTTCCTTACTTCATCTAACCCAATCAAGATAACATTTTGTTCTTTTCTCCCTGAGAAGTTTATCACAGTTTGTATGGTGGCATTGCCTCAAAATAAAGGGAAGCAGATGTAGGACTGAGGTCAGGAGGAACTTCTTCACCCAAAGGGTTGTGAATCTGTGGAATTCCCTGCCCAGTGAAGCGGTTGAAGCCACCTCACTGAATGTGTTTAAGGCAAGGCTAGATAAATTTTTGAACAGTAAAGGAATTAAGGGTTATGGTGAGTGGGCGGGTAAGTGGAGCTGAGTCTCAAAGATCAGTCATGATCTTATTAAATGGTGGGGCAGGCTCGAGGGGCCAGATGGCCTACTCCTGCTCCCAGTTCTTATGTTCTTATGTTCTTAACTTTGGGATGAACAGTAATAAATTGGAAACTGGAAACTGTACTGCCTGAAGTCTATCTCACTGAGAATCATCATTCCCTTCTCTCAATATTGAACTTTGTAAAGATTATTGTTTACCTTCTGAGGCAGATTATGCAATTATTGTCATTGTATTTTTAGTTTTATTCCATTGTAATTTGCTTACACAGATGTATCTATTAATTCAGACTTAGTTCAGAGAATGAATCTTGCACTATTGTCCATCAGTGTGCAAGTGGGAATGGCAGATTGAAAACCTACTCCTTACTGGAATAATAGAGAAAATATTTTCTGACAAGGTTCAGTTTTTTTTGATTTCGTACAATGTTCATTCTTTTTTATCACTTCAGTGCATTATTTTCAGAAAGTTGCCTAAAGAATTCTGAAACAGCTTTCAGTTTGTTTAATAATTTCCTTGAGCTGAATTATGATGCAGTTAGCTATTGCTGCACAAACAATGCTGAAGTTTCTGATGTTGCTGCTTTTGATGTGGTCTTGACAGGAAGGCAGGAAGTAAAAATGAATGCTTAGTTAACTGATTGTCAAGTGCGAGGCAATGTTTCTTAATTGCTGTTGAACCTGTACTGCCTGCCAACTGGTTCTTCAGACTGATAGCAGAGAGACTTCTTAAGATGAAATGGTGCCTTTTTAAAGGTCTGACTTATTTGCACACTATACACAGCAAGGTAATATAATTTATTATCATGCAAAGATGTGTGGCCAGATTTTCAAAAAGCCACAGGGCCAGGTACTGATGTGGGTGAGAATTCAAATTACTGTATGGCGTTGAATCTTAAGTCAGAACACCAAGACCTCTTGAGAGGCCTAAATCTCGCCTTTATTTGGCTAAATGTCAGTTTTGTTGGGTTTGACTGAGAGTTTCTCCACGAGGCCTAATGGGTTTTCTTGTAGCGTCATGTCAAACTCACCTCATTAACTGCCCTCCTCTGCCCCTCTAGCCCAATTCTAGCCTCATTCTGTACCCAGAACTTGTACCCTCACTTGCTGTACCCAGAACAACTTGCCATTGCCAGGTTACCGTAGAATGGACCAGCACACCTTGTGCTGACACCAATTTAAAAGGCCATTGTACACCCGGACACGCACTACTACTCTGAAACTGCCCTGCATGGTTCCTGATATTTGCCTTGGAAATGGTAGAGTGGGAATAATTGGTGTCCAGCTCTGCAGAGAGGGACTTGGAGGTCCTGGGACATGAGGTGGTATAGAGGCATAATGCATGCTATCCTAGAATTGGCAGTAGAGAACCTAATGCCACTTCCTACCAAGGCTTATGCTCTACCACTCATACTATTGCCTCCAACACTTCTCACTCACTGTCACCCACCACGACCCCACACGCCACTAATCCTGCTTTGCTACCTACTCGCTTGCATAGGACTTCTCCCCGCCTGTACCAAAAATAACAGCTGTGGCCACCCACTTTTATCTCCCTTAATACCTGTCCTCCTTTATTTCCAAGAGAGGAAAACAACCCAAAATAGGGCAGAAAGATGGGTGGTGGGCAGCCAACATTCAGCTTCTCACCCTTTTGTGGAGAGAATCCTGACTCTGACTGCCCCGAGTGGCTGGCTGACCATCTCCAATCCTCTGGACTGGTATCAGAGGCTGCCCGTGAAATACAGTGCCGGGTCCTCCTCACTGAAGGCTATTTTCT